CACTAGTATATTCAATGCAATTGTTAACTGCCATACACTTTTTAACTATAGTAAATCCTCAGAAAGCACAAGCCCATGTAGTGTAAGTACAACTTATTAAAAAGACCCAGTTCAATGCAACTACAATGCCGTCTCAGTTGTACTGCATGATGAAAGTTGTATTTTTTTATATGAATGTAGTCATGGATTCTAAACATTTGAAATGTAGCAATTTAGTATTTTTTTTTTTCTCTTAAAAATTGAATATAAAAAAAATATTTCAAAAAAACACTGGGTTAAATAATTAAAATGGCTGAAGTTTATTCTTGTCATTAAAAAAAATTACAAAACATTTTTTTCTCTTCACCATCAAAATAAACCTTTTTACCAATTGGAGATTAAAGAAAAAAATTTGTATTTAAAGGTCCAGTGTGTAACATTTAGGATTTATTGGCAGAAATGGAATATTATATATCAACTGAAAATAAGCCTTTTTATATCTAAACAGAGCTATGTTTAAACAGTAGCCCAGAAGGGACAAATGAAACACTGGCTCCAGATGGTGTTCACATTTTTTTTTTGTATAATGAATGTGTATAGGCTTTTAAATCAAAAATTTGATAATGTAACGTCATTTCTTTTATTAGAAATTCAATTAACAAAAGTCTGTACTACAATATTACATTTTTCTTTATTTAGTCAAACTACAATCATATGAAGAGAACATGAACAGTAATCTTGAATTACAGTTCAGCTATATTTAAAGAAAATTATACAAATTAGGGGGTTTAGATGTATTCATCACTGAGCTCTAAAATAAAACCATTTATAATCAAAAGACATGGGCAGATATAAGGTTTTCAACTGATATAGAAAAAACAAAAACACAGCCTGCACACCACATGCTTTACCCATGCTCACACTGTACACTGGGATATCACACACACATCCTGTGTTCCTAACCACAAGGTCAGGCCCAGTTGTATGGCACTGGAGCACATTTAATTTTCTTTTGAAAGTATTGTGAGTCTGCTGATATTATTACAGAGCTTGCCAGCCTGAAAGTAATAAGTTTGAGATATACTAAAGCTGAAACCAGTAATCCATAAATAAACAATAACAGTGGCCTTGCTTTTTAAAACTATAAGGTAGGTTGTTTTTTTGCACACAGACCCGGTTATGACTAACTGCTTGTGACAGGAAGATTCAGTTGCAAGACACCGTGGAAGAGAATTTACCGAGTATTATTACTCTTTGTGCGTACTGGGTAGAATTACTACACATTATGATATATCTTATTGATTTAAACTATTTACTAACTAATGGAATGATGTAAATGTATTAGAATTGCCTATATAAAGTGTCTTACTGGCCACTGATTCAGTTCTGTGCATTTCTGATCATGGCTTTACCAGGGGAGTGCAGTGGGAGTGTTACCCAGTATGTCTCTTTGTTATCTTAACACAATGTTATTGTGTTTCAGTGAGCAAGATCCTGAGCCAAATAAATTTTGAGGACGCAGATTGTTTCGTGATACACACACTGTGCCAAGTGCTGATGGCATGCTGTGTTTTATGGGTTGAAAATCAGAGGAAGAAAGTACAAGAGAAGAAAAACACAAAATGAGACTCTCTTACCTTAAGAAGCACTTCAACACGTCAAACTGCAAAGAGAAGGAGCAAAAAAAGGGGAGAGGGGAGAGGAACAAGAGGGAAAGAGAGAAGAAAGGTTGAAATTAGATTACCATAGGGCGCAGTTGCAGAGCAACTTTCCAAGACACTTCACAGGAGATTGTGTGAGGTAGAACTAGATAGATTTTAAAGTGCTTTAGTCGATCTACAGTGTAAAGTGAGACAGGTTCTGCTGCACTGGATACCATTTGACAGTCGCATCATTAAAATAAATCATAAAAGAGTCTGTCCTTAAATTGGCATTTGAGGGGGCTGTTCAGGAGAAAACTTTAAATAAACAGAAAGAAAAAAAATCTAGAAATAGCCCTCATGGATTTGCTGAATCTCTGAAACTTGTATATTTATTCGCCTTCTCCCTTCCCTCTGCAGCTCCAGACTTCACCAGACCCTAGTATAGCAGAGCAGGAAGGGGAGCTAATACTGGTTTCTTGGGTGTTGTTCATCTCTGTCTTCCCTTGCCAACCACTGACCTACTGTACTTCACACTGCTACACTCTCCTGGCTGCAATGCATGTGGCCTTGGAAAGAGACGATGCAAACAACTTTAAGCTGCCAGTATACTCCGTCAGAAGTGCTTGTCGGATGGTTCACTAGCTTTGGAAATCCCCACATCTTTCCAACGTTGGATTAGTGGGACTAGGGACTGTCTGACCATCTCCATAACTTTCCAAGTCTGACAAGTCAACAGGCACACTCCGTCTGAAGACTTTACGATTTGGTAAAGTGCAATTATTATGACAGATATTGTGATTGCAATATGATTCAGAATTTGCAGGAATGACCAGTTTTGCATTACAATTTTCATTTTCACAGAAATAAACTGGAGAGATTTGTTGGGGTCTGTACCAAACACGATTTGGAGAACAAGATTTGTAAGTCAGGACACCTCTGCAGCACTACAGTACTTAGCATTATAATGCTGTTTTGTCACACATTTTACCTTTCTAATCCACTTCACGCTACAATTGGCCAGCTGTGTGGAGGTTAGAAAAGAGCCAGGCTTTGAACTTCTCTTTCTAGTTCTCTATATGCAACTATTTCTATCACTTTTTGACAGAAATGAGTGCAGCACTATGAATGTCTTTCAGGAGAGACAGTCTGAAAATGTGTACAGTTGTCCCCATTAAATTATATCACTTTAGACAGGGGGGGTCCATGATGGCAGGCTTTTCATGCCACCTTCCAGTGTGGCCGTTCAGAACAACTATTAACACATTTGATTTCTGATGTGGTCAGACAACAAGTCCTGCAAACTAGTTTTGATCACGCATACCCCGACCCTTTACACATTACAAAAGAATCCAAGTGCTTCCTAATTAAAAAAATAAAAAATAAATAACAAGCAGATGTTACCTTAAATGTTTTCAGACATATTGTAAAGGTTGAGCTCACTTGAATAACAATGTGTTCTTGTGACACAAATTAGCTGCAGCTCTCTCTACTTGGTTTCTGAAAAGGTCACCAAAATAGAATGAGGGTACCATTTTGTTATTTTACTCAAAGAAAACTTGAATATATAAAAAGTTGTATTTAAAACTCAAAACTGTAGCTCATTAGGAGAACATGATGGTACATTGCAGTACCAACATGTTCTGCAATGAAGTTCCACAAGGTCCCTGTAGAGAGACTTATCTATGGAAAGAAAGAAAAGTTAGGAGACTGTCTCCACAATGTAACTGATGGATTCAGAATGTGGTTTATGGCTTTGAATATTTTTTAGCCAATTTTGCAGCTGAAGAGAGCATTTATTTATTTATTTGGCATTGTGCCTTTATTGAATAGTGACAGTAGAGATACAGAGAAGAAACATGGCCAGTCAAAGAGTGGTCTAAGGCATGCAATAATGGTCCATGGCCTGCACTGAACTGGGGATGTTGTGGTTACATGTACATCTCAACCATCAGGCCACCAGGATACACAAGACTTTTATAACTTAAATTTAAAAAAGGATGGCAGGGTAAAATAGGAGTTCATTTATCGCCTTTGTGTGACCATTTTGGGTTGTTGCCCTCTCATTGTCTGTGCACACTTCATTTGGAATTGGTATTTTTATCATGGAGCTTTGATAAGAAAACATTTTTCGACACCAGAGAGACAGAAAACAGAGAACAGCAGCAACTTTTTCACCCTTCAAAGACAATTTGGTCTGAGTATAAAAAAATGTGCTGACTAAAAACAATGTGTTAGAATCAATGTGTTTTTAAAAAGTGGCAGCCAAATTTAACAGACTATCTGTGTCACCACTACTGTGGAGGTGTATATATGTGAGAATCTTTTAATACAAGCTGAAGATTTATGTCTTTTTTCAGTATCATCGACATGTTATTATATAATAAGATTTGTCAAGGTAATTATTCTTTAAGATTTTAAAAAGGGAACAGTCTGTAATTAACCTAAGAACAAACAACATGACACCATAAACAAACACTTTAGAGACAATCTGACACCCATGAATGCACAAAGACATTTAACCCCCCCCCCCCCCCCCCGACCCACCCCCCACACACACAGTGGTCAGACTGTTTCATTAGTGAGGAGCAGATAGATTACCCTCCCGTAGGAGACATTGACCAAGAGGCCATTGATCTACTGAGCTAAGCCAATCTCTGTGTATGTGTGTTTTTGTGTGTGTGGGTGCGTGCGTGTGGAAAGTAGCCTACTGATGGAGTCTTTAAGTTGTTGGAGTAAGCACAGTAAATCTAATCCAGTTGTGTTTAATGGAGAGAGAAAGAAACAGGCTGTTGACATATTCATTAAGTCCAATTACTGTGTCCAATCAGTACCATCTCACTCACTCACCAGAGAATGAGAGAGAGCATCAGCAGTATTTATGTCTTGGCAAACCACCAGGAGAAAAAGATTGATAGTACTTAAACGATAAATAAAAAACATATTTATTCTACTTACTGAATGACAACATGGTACACTTGAAGGCATCTAATATCATTTGATCTCATTCAAGCCTAGCAGAGTACTGAAGTGTAAATCAATCTGGCTAAAACTGGAATTACTCAATTATACAGTCTAATTGATGATTCAATAAGGATCGTTGGGCTCAGAGGTTGTAATCATGACTTATGGTAATAATACAACGACACAGCCATATTTCCCATAACGAGCTTGTTGTAAACACTAACAATCGCAAAAACAAAAAATGCTATTTCTGGTGACATAGCATCTGCTATGTGTGTGTGTGTGTGT